TTAAAAAAAAAAAAAAAAAAAAAAAGATGACCGGTAAGGGGATCTTAACCCTTGACTTGGTGTTGTCAGCACCACGCTCTCCCAAGTGAGCCACGGGCTGGCCTCAAAAGTTTCTTTTTCAGGGTGATGAAAATGCTCTAAAATTAGATTGTGGGCTGGCCTGTTATCTCAGTGCTTAGTGAGGTGTCAAGGGTCAAGGGTTTGGATCCCCGTACTGGCCAGCCACCAAAAGAAAAAAGAAAAATTAGATTGTGGTGATGGTTGTACAATTCTGTAAATATACTAAAAAATTCACTTCAATTTTTTACAGTGCACTTAAAATGGGTGAATTTATGGTATGCAAATTATATCTCAAGAAAGCCGATAAAAAAAATAAAAGGTTGAGAAAACCTCAGAGTTCCAGCTCTTACCTCTAACCACCTCCTAAAAATTCCAACTTGCAGAACTTGAGGCTCCCTCAAACCTCAGCTCTCAAATGGAACCCAGCAGCTCCCTGAGCCCAGCTCCCTACCTTGAAGGCCAGGAACTGGGGGGACAGAGTCTGTCCTGCCCTTATCCGTCCTTGACCTCAATATCCTGATGACAGGGGCAGGAGGAGCTGAACATCAATAGGTTGGTGAGGGTCAGCCCCTCACCAAATCTTGGTTACTCCATTCTTCAAATATTTGTCTGTCCCTCCTTCTTGGCTATTGTCACTCTCAACAACATGTGCAGCCTGGACAAGGCCCACAGCCAACTGCTGTCTGGCTTTTTGGTAAGCTTGGACTTCTATCTATCTATCTATCTATCTATCTATCTATCTATCTATCTATCTATCTATCTATCTAGATATCCGTCTATATCTATATCTATATTTATCTATCTATATTTTTTGCAGCTGGCACTATGGGGATCCAAACCCATGCCCTTGGTGTTACAAGGCTGTGCTCTAACCAACTGAGCGAACCGGCCAGCCCTTCTGCTATCTAGATGCTGGACTGCTCACAAACCCTCCCTGGCTCCCTATTTCCCTGAGGAGGAGAAGGTCCTAGCACCTTGGCCTGGCATTTCAGGCCCTGCCAACTTCACCAACCTATTGACGTTCATCTCCTCCTGCCCCCATCATCAGGATATTTCTCCACTCCCAACCATTGCCCAGGCTGTTCCCTCTGCCCAGAATGTCTGTCACTATGAACTCCTACACTTTCCTCAAGGCCCAGCTAGTGGTCACCTCCTCTAGGAATTATACCCATTAACTTTTCTGGAGAAAGCTCAGCCATCCTGGGATGCTTCCTCATCTTTACACGAGGGGTGGGGCAGGACCAAGTTAAGTCTCCCCTAGGTGACCCCACTCACTGTTTACCCCCTTGTGACTGGGTGCCAGCCATGTGTTCCATTTCATTGAGGTGGCAACTAAAGCAGAGTGGGCAACCCAAAGTCATCGAGAGAGAAATGTGGCAGAACCAGGACTTGACCCTGGAGCACTGGGTTCTCAGCTATCAGGCAGAGATGTGGAAAGTCCTTCTAAGAGGTTTCCTAGGGGTTTTCAGAGGCCACCAGCAATGTTTGGGGACTTCCCTCACCTTGGAGGGCAGTGGCTGACATCTGCTCAAACATCCTCCAGATCAGAAGCAACGCTGACACTTGCCCAAAGGTTTCCTTTGCCCAGGCACTGTGATGGGGGGACTTTCTGTCTCACTACATCGTTTTACGCACTGGGGGAGGTCTCGAAGGAAAAGGAAACCGAGAAGCCATGTCCCCCAAGGTCACCCAGCTAGGAAGGGACTGATATCCAAGGCTGTCTAATTCCAAAGCCAGTTAGCCAATTCTTTCTTTCTTCTTGTTTTTGTTTTGTTTTGATTTGAATTAGATTTATTTATTTTTTGCCTTGGTAACATTATCATAATTCAAAATCCCAAAGAAGAACCTCCCCCCTCCTCCAGCCTCTTCCCAAGCCTCCCAACTCCAATCCTTACAGCCAACTAATAGTCATTTCTTATATTTTCTCCTTCCAAAGCTCTTTTATACATAAATACAGCCTCCCCGCCCTGCCACTCCACTCCTTAACATGGACGGTGGCATGCCACTCATACTTGGCATATTTGATTTCTTTTCAAGTTTACAATATACTTTGGAGTTTGTTTTCTTTCTTTTCTTTTTTCTTAGAACCCTTGATCTTGGTGTTATAACGCCTCACTCTAATCAGCTATGGGTTTTTTTTGGGGGGATTGGGGTTTTTTTGGTCTGCTGGCTGGTTCGGGGATCCGAACCCTTGACCACAACTGTCATTTTTTTTATTTTTTATTTTTGATGACCGGTAAGGGGATCTTAACCCTTGACTTGGTGTTGTCAGCACCACGCTCTCCCAAGTGAGCTAACCGGCCGTCCCTATATAGGGATCCGAACCCATGGCCTTGGTGTTGTCAGCACCACACTCTCCCAGGTGAGCCTTGGGCCAGCCCTCACAACTGTCATTTTGAGAACTGATGCCCAATCTCTCATCACAAGGTTGTGCTCCCATCAAACACTGTCCCACTGGGCCGGCCCGGTGGCGCACTGGATAAGTGCGCCGCTTGGGAAGCGCGGCGGCGCTCCCGCCCGAGGGTTCGGATCCCACATACAGACCGGTTCCTGCTCACTGGCTGAGCGAGGCGCGGGAGCAGTACCGAGGCTTGCGATCCCGTTGCCGGTCCCCGGTCCGGTACGGGGGCAACACTGAGGGTTGCGATCCGTTGCCGGACACGGAAAAAGACAAAAGACAAAAAAAAAAAAAAAAAAAAAAACCCACTGTCCCAGGACTGCCTTCATCCCCACAGCCTTGCCAGCACAGCTTTTATGAAGCACGCCATCTCAGGACTAGTATTTCATTTTGGGTTTTTTTTTGTTTTGGCAGCTGGCTGGTATGGGGATCTGAACCAGTGGCCTTGGTGTTACAAGGCTGTGCTCTAACCCACTGAGCTAACCGGCCAGCCCCAGCTCAAGGCTAGTTTTAATTTGCATCTTCTTCTTCTTCTACTTTTTAAAATTTTAATGTATTGGATCCGGGACCTTGTCGTGTGTTTAATGAGTGAGGCACAGAGAGCCAGCATTCTCGAATGTGCTGGATTCCTGTCCACAATCTAAATGCACCCAAAGGGGTACAAAGAGGGGCTTCCAAACGATAAAAGGACTTTCCAACCCTGCCCATCAGTGAGCTCCTACTTGGCCCTACCACCAAGCAACAAAGGCTCTCCCAGCCTGCTGGGGAAGCCCCTCCCAATCTCCCCTCCCCAGTCTGCCCAGTCCAGGCTCCTGGGCCCAGCCACTCACCATACACGATGAGGGAGGTAGAAGCCATAGTTTGCTTATTGTGACAGGTTGAATGGCAGTGCAGAGTGCTATTTTCCTGCACATCGATCAGTTTATATAGCTTCCAGGTGTATCCCCGGTCCACCTCCTCTTTGGTCAATTCAGTCTCCAGGCCAAAGATGGCACTTTGGTTACAGGAGGCAGTACAATTCACTTGCACGGAGCCTCCTCGGGGCAGGATGGCTTCTGAGGGGAATACCGACACTTGGGCACCTCCAGACACTGCAATAAAAGAGGGAGCAGGCATTACAGAACAGGCTCATCACAATTAATGTGTGCCCAGCCTGTGCTGGGTGCTGGAGACGCAATCTTGAACAAGACAAAACTTTGCCTTCGGGGGCTGGCCATTCGCTCAGTCGGCGGGAGCACGGTGTTTGGGTTTGGATCCCCAGCCAGCCAAACGAAACAAAACAAAACTCTGCCTTCAGTGTGGCAGACAAGAAAAACACATGAGCAAACAAGAGCATGAGTAACTGATGTTATGAGCTTTGACGAAAACAAAACAGGGTGATAGAACAGATAGTGCCTTGGTGACAGGATAATATCTGTGCAGACATCTGAATGATGAAAAAGGGTTGACCTTTCAGAGAAAAGAGAAGTGAATTCCAGCCAAAAGGAACAGCCAGCGCGAAGGTCCTGAGGCAGTAATCTGGGAGCTGGGTGAGCAAGCGAAGTGTGGGGGCTGGCTGATGAGCTCAGCTGGTTAAAGCACAGTCTTATAACACCAAGGTCGTGGGTTTGGATCCCCACACCAGCCACCGCCCTAAAAAAGGGGGGGGGGAATGAGGTCAGGGGAATCACATGGACAGTGTAGGCCATGCTGAAGATGTGTTCTTTATTCTGAGGGCAAGGGGGAACCAGCAGAGGAATGTAGCAGGGCCAGATCTTAACGTGAAATCAGTGCCTTCCTCCCTTCCAAGAGGTCAGGTGGAGGGGGCCAGCCCTCCAGGAATCAGGTTGGTTTCTCTCTCCCTTGGACAAGTAGCTTCCCCTCTGGGCCTCAATTTCCCCATCTGTAAGGTGGATGAGTATAGTCACCCCACCCCCCACTAATACAAATAACTCAGCACAGGGCAGGTAGCAAAGATCACCTTGGAGGTGAGTGCAGTTAAGAAGGAAGGTGTTGTTTTAATAAGATCCCTGAAATTCTGGTGCTTCCAAAGCTGGAAAAATGTCTGTCTGATACCACACCTTGCACCCCCCAAAAATCTCTATCCTCAGATTTGCTCTATCTGGGGTGTTCTATCCAGGGTGGAGGTGTGTGACCACAGTGGCTCCCTAAATTCTCCAAGGGTGATTCTGGGATCATTTCCGTGTCACAGAGAGAAACAGTGAGGCTGGGAGAGGGGCGGTTCCTCAGCTACAAAGCTGTAGAATCCAGGTAGGAGTCCAGATTAGAACCCTTGATGGAACTGGTAACCAAGGTGTCAAATTCCACCCTCCTGGTCCCCAACATTCGCCACCACTGGAGACCCTCCGGCCCCCTGACTCCTTCCCTGGCCGGGCTGGAGTTGGGGGAGGAGAGCGCTGGGCGTCCCACTTTTCAGACCTTGGCCCCTGGGTAAGTAAGCTCTGGAATTCCCCTAAACAGAAGCAGCCCTGGACTTCCCCAAGGACAGATGATGAGGAACAGAATGTGTCTGGAAGGGGAGGTCCCCCAAGACCATTCAAGTTGGTATGGGGTCAAGTCCCCCCACCATCTGACCGTATCCCGGGGCCAGGCGCTGTGCTGGGCTACTGCACAAAGTGGCCGCTATAAGGTTCCCATTTTACAGCTGAAAAACTGATTCTCCAGATGGCGCAGTCTATAGCCCGAGGTCACAGACTGACGTGACTGCAGGGCTGTTGGCTTTCAATCCGCGGCTCTAGCCCCACCTTTCCATAAACTGCTACCTAAGTACGAATGGCCTGATTTCCAGCCAGCGGGTGCCAGTCCTCCAACCGCGCCCAGGGCGCAGCCCCGATCCAAGGAAATACCCCCCACCCCAGACTCACCTGGGAGCAGAGCTCCGATCAGGACCAGGAGCGAGGGCAGCGAGCCGCTGGGGTCCATAGCCGGCCGGGACAGGGCGGAGGCGGCGGCGCAGAGGGGTTTGGCGCCTACTGGGACGCAGAGGAGCGCGCGGTCCTTTTATACCAGCTGGCCACGGGGGGCCGAGGGGCGGTGCTGCTTTCCGGGAAACCTCGCGCTTTCCCCTCCGGAACGAGGGCTCCGGCATTTCCGGACTGAGAGGGTGCCTGGCCCGAGCGGGGTCACCCTCGCTGGTCGCTCCAACGCCGGAATCTCCGAACTGAAGCTGTAAGGGCGGCGACCTGGGGGCTGCTCCCGACCCCCAGGTGTCCCGTTCCCGGGCCACGCTAACCTCGAGTCACGGTTTACTCTGTGCTAAGCGCTTTATTGAATAGTGCCAAGTACCCTGGACAGCGGGGAGTGTGTTATTGTGTCCATTTCACAGAGGGGTAAACTGAGGCTCCGAGCTGCGAAGGGATCCGAATTCAAATTTGGATTCCCCAGCTCATGGAGGCTTCTTTAACTGAGTGGATGAGCCCCTCGGTAGGGTGGAAGCCCGGGAATCCCCCAAGGGGCATGTCCCCGCCCAGCTGACACCGAGATGACTAGGCGGAGCTGCCAGAGCAAGCCCAGGCACGCCAGGCGCCCGCCAACCTGTGAATGAGGATGTGCGGCGTCCACGCATCCGCCACCGCCGCCTGTGCGTGCTCACACCCCCGCGGCCTCGCTTCCTCTTTTCGGCCTCGGCAGCGGGGGCGTCTTTACAGCTCCCAGAAAAAGGAAGGAAGTCTCGTGGTCTTGCCCGCCGAGACTGTCCGCTGTAGTTCCTGACTTCGCGGGGAAACTGAGGCAGTCCCTAGGGTCCAAGGTGGGGCAGGGAGTGGGGGGCTCAGACCCCTGCCTTAGGCTCGCGGCTTCCAAAACTCAACCCCCGGGCGCCTGCACTAAATACGTGCGGGGTTTTGCCCGGCCACGGCGTCAGCAGGTGACCTCAAGGCTCGACATCACCTCGTCGAGGTTGGGGATTTTGTGGTCTCGGAGCAGCGAGTTGCGCTGCCTAAGGCTTCCTGTTGTGGGGCATGCACAAAGTCGCCATGGAGACGTTCAAGGAGCCAGGGAGGTCGCGCCCAGAAGGGAAGGGCGGGATCCTTCCTCTGAGGGAAGGGGGCTGCGAGTCACTTGCCATCCATCACCACGTCCCTCTCCCTTCCCTGGAATTTCCACGGGGATCTTTTTCTTGGAGGGTTGGGGGTACCGAATCCCCGCCCCGGAAAGGCCTGGGCAAAGTCACAGAGTGGGACCGGGGATGTCCCTGCGCCTCAGAAGATGTGGGAAAATCCTGCGCGGGGGTTATTTTCGGGGGCGGGGTTCGTGGGCTCGCAGCACGTGGTTCTGTGACCCCGGCCCGGGGTTCGCGGAAGGCGCGCTCCCCCGCGCGGCCCAAGCGCCACTTGCAGCCACAGAAATGTCCTTCCTTCTCAACACGCGTTGTTGCAGCATTTGAGCGCCTACTGTGTGCCAAGCGTCCCTCCAGGTGCCGAGGGCACAGCGATGAACAGAATAGACAGCAATCCCTGCTATCGTGTGGGGATCGTCTTAGCCGGGGCCACAGACAAGAAACAAAAATAATGGCTGGCTGGTTACTCGGCTAGAAGCGATGTTGTAACACCAAGGTCAAGGGTTCGGATCCCCCTACCCGCCAGGCGCCCCGCCAAAAATAATTAAATAAATAAAATATATGGAGTGGTAGTTTGTGGTTATTACTAAGGAAAAATGAAGCAAGAAGGGGGATACGAAATGTAAGAATTAATGAACTTTTATTTATTTGTTTATTTTGGCCTGCTGGCCGGTATGGGGATCCAAACCCTTGACCTTGGGGTGATAACACTGCACTGGCCAGCCCAATGAACTTTCAAATAGAGTATTCTGGGGAGACTCAGTGAGGAGGTGACATTTGACAAAGACCAGAGGAGGTGAGGAGGGAGCCAGGCCATTATCCTGGAGGAGTGAGGTACCAAGCACAGGGTGCTGGAAGTGCAAAGGCCCTGAGGTAGGAACTGTCTCAGGGAACAGCCAGGAGGCCAGTGTGGCTGGGGCGGTGTGAGCAAAGCACAGAATTAGAGGACAGCAGGAGGTGATGGGGCAGATAGTGCAGGCACTTGTCACTCGGGGGATTTGGGCTTTTTTTGTTCGCAGATGGCCGGTACGAGGATCCATATCCGTGACCTTGATGTTATAAGCCTGCGCTGTGAGCAACTGAACTAACCAGCCTGTCCCGGATTTTGGCTTTTACTCCCAGGGAGGTGGGAGCCACGCAGGGTTCTGAGCAGAGGGAAGGACGTGCCCTGACGCTGGTGTTCACGGGCGCCCCCTTGAGGCTACCGGCGCTGCGGCCCGGAGCCCGGAGTGGATAATGGCATTGGAGAAGTGGTTGGATTTGCCATCTGTTTTGGAGGCTGGGCCAACTGAGCTTGCTGGGACATGGGGGAGGCAGGGCAGAGTCAAGAACGACTCCTCGGTGTGGGTCCGAGCCCCTGGGAGGATGGAGGGCCATTTCCTGAGTGGGCATGGGATGGAAATGGGGGTCAGGTTGGCAGTGGAGCATGTACCTCCCAGTCTTCCACTCCCTTTTCTCAAGAAAAAGGGAAGCAGATGTTCTCCAGCTGTTTGCTGCAGTCTCCAGGAAGGGCAAGCCTTCCTTCTGGGCGGCAGGCAGTCTCATAGGCTGAGAAATGAGCTCACTGCAGACGAGAGGCTGTAAACCCAGGACAGAAGTATCCAAACCCCACTCCATGGCATTATGTCCTCTCCCCCTACTCTGAACTCTCTGGTGGGGCTGCCTTGCAGTTCCCTCTACTTGGAATGCTCTTCCCCTCACCCTGACATGGCTGGCTACTCCTTCCTTGTGGCCTGAGCCTCCTCCTAAAACCTTCTCTGAATATCCTCCACTCCCTCCTGGGCCACATCCTGGTCACTCCCTATCAATTGCCCTAATATTCTCACTACTGAACTCATCATTTGCTGAAATTCTTTTGATTGACTTGATTGTCTGCGAGCTCCAGAAGGGCAGGGAGGCTGTCAGTCTCAGCACCTGAATCAATGTCTGATTCTTATAGGTGGTGATCGGTACTTCTGTGTTGAATGATGCCTGGCTGGTTAGCTCATGGTGTTATAACACCAAAGTCAAGGGTTTGGATCCCCCTCTCAGCCAGCAGCCAAAAAAAAAAAAAATCCAAAAAAGTTTGTTGAATGAATTCACTTCTCTTGTCTCTGAGTGTTCTGCACGTGCTGTTCCCCCAACATGGAATTCCCTTCCCACCAGTTTAACCAAATGCCCTTAGGGCATTTCATGCAGAAGTCCTTGGAAGACAGAGTTGTAATGGGGTTAGGAGCATGAGCTGCGATCAGACTGGGGTTTGAGTCCAGGCTCCGTTACTTTCCAGCTATTTTAGTTTAAGTTCCCCCCAAAGTAGACACTGAGACAAGGCTGGGAGTGCAGGAAGTTTATCTGTGAGGTGACCCCAGGAAGCATTGGTGGCTGGGGGCAGAGGGCATAGCCAGGGAAGGGAAGGGAAGAGAAGGCAGCCACTGAAAGTGAGGATTAGTAGGTTTCCCCTAAAACCCTAAATTAGGGCTTCCCCTAGTTGTTGGGGAAAACTAGGCTCAGTTCCACTGGGGAGCTGTGGAAGACACATAGACTACACCAACCTGTCCCTCATTGCATGAGGGCTGCTCCTTAGGAGTCAACTTCCTTTTCTTCCTTTCTTCTTCTTCTTCTTTTTTTTTGGCAGCTAGCCAGTAAGTTTTTTAGCATTTTCACAATGTTGTACAAAGCATCACCACTCATTCCAGAATATTTCTATCATCCTCAAAAGAAACCTGGTATCTCTCAATCCTCCCTCTCCTTACCCACTCACATCTATTAATCCACTCTCTGTCTCTACGGATTTGCCTCTTCTGGGTATATCATATCAATGAAATCATACAATGTGTATGATTTTTGTGTCTGGCTTCTTTCACTTAGCATTATGTTTCAAGGCTCATCTGTATTGTAGCATGTGTCAGGACTTCATTCCTTGTGATGGCCAAATAATATTCCATTGTATGGATACAACACATTTTGTTGATCCCTTCATCTGTTTTTTTTTGTTTGTTTTTTTAAAAAGATGACCGGTAAGGGGATCTTAACCCTCGACTTGGTGTTGTCAGCACCACGCTCAGCCAGTGAGCTAACCGGCCATCCCTATATAGGATCCGAACCCGGGGCCTTGGTGTTATCAGCACCATACTCTCCTGAGTGAGCCACGGGCCGGCCGATCCATTCATCTGTTGATGGACATTCTGGTTGTGTCTACCTTTTGGCTATTGTGAATAACGCTGCAATAAACATTAGCATACAGTACACATTTGAATCCACTTACAATTCTTTAGGGTATGCTTTGTTTTAAAATTTTAAAAACAATTATTCATTTTTTATGTTTTTATCATCTGGCAAATCAGGGGATCTGAACCCTTGACCTTGATGTTATCAGCAACGTGCTGTCCCAAGCGAGCTAACCAACCAGCCCAACTTTATTTTTTTAATACAATATGTGTGACATAAAACTTACCATCTTAACTATTTTAAGTGTATACTTCATTCCTTTTTATGGCTGAATAGTATTCCATTGTACAGATTCACCATGGTTTGTCCATCCGTTCACTGGTTGATGGACGCTTGTGTTCTTTCCACTTTTTGGCTATTATGAACCATTGTACAAGCATTCATGTATAAGTTTTTGTGTAAACATGTTTACAGTTCTTTTGGGTACATATCGTCCGTTCACTGGTTGATGGACACTTGTGTTCTTTCCACTTTTTGGCTATTATGAACCATCGTACAAGCATTCATGTATAAGTTTTTGTGTAAACATGTTTACAGTTCTTTTGGGTACATATCCAGGAGTGGAATTGCTGGGTCACCTGGTAATTCTCTGTTCTTAACTTTTTGAGGAACTGCCAAACTATTTTCCACAGTAGTGGAATGATTTTCCATTCCCACCAGTAATGTACAAGGGATC